AAGGGGCTTACGAAACTTGAAATTATTTAAAGCCATTTTTTAAAGTTTTAATATTATTATAATTATCGAGGGAGTGAAATATCCTAAATGCATTTTTTCTTTGCTCTCTAAAATTGAAAGAGCCATAGCAATCGGTTCCATAACCTATAAAATCATATATATCATATTGCTTAATTAACACTAAACCATACAATATTCATCTATGAACGACTTGTCGTTATCTAAAAATCTCTGTAATTCAGATTTATCACAAGATTTGACAAATTATTGACAATTCTTTTTAATAAGAATATCTATTAATTTCACGGAGTTATAAAAAGAGTACCATGTTGTTATAACCGGTTTAATCAGATATAGTCCCATGTTTTCCTTAAAAATGGCTGCATAGTTTGAAAATTGCCCATGTTTATTACACAATAGCTTACACTTAGAAGATGTAATTATTGAAATGGTTTTAAAATTGAGATCGTTACCTGCCTTTTCAATGTCAACACTTGCAATGAGATTTAAAGTGTGCGCTGAACAGGAATTATGCGTAGGTAAGTATGTAATACTATCATTAGTATTTTGATTTTTAAATAGATCAAATAATGGCAGAGGAACTATTTCATTATCCGATTCCTCTCCTTGTTCATATACTTTAATAATTTTTTAATAAATATGTTAAAATTTTTTCTACTTGAAAGCTTTTATATAATTTCTAACATAGTCGGTGCATTTGGTCACTTTATTTTGTATCTTATATGTGGTAAAAATTTCAAAGATTATTTTTGCTAGATAATCAAATGTGTTTTTGGTTTAACTTTTAGCTAAGCAGGCTGAAACCCTCACAAGAGTGAGTGTAGCCAGTGTACCGTCATCCCTAAATAAGAACTTTTTAAAAAGACAATATTATCAATCTATAAAATATATATTTTATATACCGATGATAAGCTGACCAAGAATCTTCAGTTGTACGGACAATTTTTGGGATACATAATAAATGCACTAATTTCTTTGCCATGTGTCATATGCTTAATACGAGGGTAAGTCTAGACATCACATTTTCAGTTGGCTGCAATTTTTTGATAATATTAATAAATGCAGTACTTTCTACAATTGAAAATGGTTGTAATTCTTCGATTTCAAAATTAAAAACTAATCCATCAACAGCTGATTGTGCTATTTTTATATTTGATGTAGATGGATTCTGCATCTCAATTAGTGTGCGTTGATTGGCTTCAATTTTTCATTACTATTCAAATGTTCATTAATCCTTCCATTTTTGAGGAATGTACGGTCTATAATTTTTTAATTAAAATATTATTAATTCCGAATTTTTTATTAAAAACAACTTAACTTTTTAATAATTGTAGATAAATCTTTTAAAAATTTAATTGAATTTTTTAATCCCTCACCAAACTTATTGTCAAGGATAACATTAAAAATTGAAATTATGATTGCCAAAGATGCTTTATTAATTTCGTATCTTTTTCAGAATTCAGATTTATCATTTAAAATGGAATCAGGAAAAATATCTAGGTTCAGTTATCACAATATTGCTTCATGGTTTTGTTCCATATAAATAATTATTTAAAAATACATATCTATTTAAACAAAATTTTTTAAAATCACTATTTTATAATTTAAATTTATTAACAATTTGAAGTCAAACCAATAGCAATACTAAAACAAGAAATAGAAAATATTGTTTAAACCCAATATAATATTTTGAACCAATACCAATATTTTGTTAATCTTGGGTTTTTAACGTTGGTTCCCAGCCCTATACTATAGTATAATTTAATTGCTTATATTTTAATTTCATGATCAAGCTTTTAAATATTATCAAAGAATATTTTTTTTATAGTTATTTTTTTATTTTCTATTATTAAAGTAATGTTAAATAATTATATTAATTCATCTTTTTACTGTGGTATTTGGTCATTAGTTTTGCCAAATTTATTACTGTGACAATTTTAAATGTTAGTTTAATTAATTATAAAAAATCATTGTCGTAGATTTAATTGTTAATTTATTTATTTTTGAAATTTGTTTATTATAATGATGTGATTATTAAATTATGTATTTTTAAAAATTTGTTTATTATAATTTTGTTATGCGTAATAAAATGTTAAAAAAAAGAGGATTATTATTATTATCAGAGACCTGCAGAGGTATCATATGCAGGGCCCTGCCCGGTTTTAATTTTTTTAGGCCCGGCCCGGTTTTAAATTTTTTAGGCCCGGCTCGGCCCGGATTTAAAAATTTAAGGCCCTCGGAATTTTTTAAAATTATATTCGACCTGGTATATACAAAAATTCACCTATGAGGTATTTTACCATATTTCAGGGAGTATTATCGATTATTATTTAAAAAATACATGTAAAAAGCTAATATTTTGAGAATATTATATTGAATTTATAAAAATTATAAAACTGTTATTTATAAAAATGGATATTTTGAGCATATATTATATTTTATATTGCATTTATAAAAATAAAACTAATATTCATAAAAATGGTAATAATATTTGTCATATACTATATTTTATATTACATTTAAAAAAAATAAAACTAATATTTAATTTATAAAAATGGAAAATATTTTGAGAATATAATATATTGTATTTAATTTACTATTTAATTTATAAAATAAAAATAAATAGCTATTTAAAAAAATGCATGTATAATAAATAGTATTTTGAAAATATAATCTAATTGCACAATATTAATATAATTTATTTTATAATATAAATTTTTAACAAAAGAAGATAATTGTATTATATAATATTGTAAAAAAAAATAATGAAAAATGTTAGATTAAAAACTTTCATGACTCAAGGTAAATATAATAAATGCAATAAATATTTGACAGTTTGCAAAGTAAAAAACCAGCATGATTGACGAAACCCTATACTCAAGAAAGATATTAAAAATTCACAAATTATCATGAAGAAAGAGAAGCATATCTACCTTTTCAGGTTGAAGATTACTTCTTCTTTCTTCAAGAATTCTCCCAGTAGTGGAAAAATTCCGCTCACAGCTTGCACTTAAAGCAGGAATTGCCAATTTTGCTAAAATTGGAAATTCGCTTTGATGAGCCGCCCACCACTCTAACAAATTATCCACCTTAAATGTTTTATCTATTATTTATGTAATTATAATATTCATCATCGGGTATTGACATATTACCAGAATTACCATGGCCCCATTTGTCATAAAACGATTCAGTTTGTTTAACAACAGTCGTAATTTGACTGGTAGATGGTATTTCATTTACTTCCTGAGCCTCTTGTAATTTAATATAATCTTTTATATAGTTTTCCGTCATTTTGCGATCTGTCCCTGACTACATACGTAATTGCTTGAATTTGGGACAGAGAAAAAGAGAAATAAAATGATACTTGTGTAAACAAAATTTTCAATTAAAAAATGCTTTATATTAAGTAAAATCAATTTTATTTCTCCTTTTCGCTTTGAAAGATATTACAAACTTTAAGAAGTGATATTCCTTTATTTGATTGTTTTGGTAAAATATATTCTAAAAAATTAGATATGAATTATAAAAAAATATATTAATAATACTTGAATATTGGGGCTTATTTAAGATATTCCTTTACTTGATTGTTTTGGTAAAATATGTTGTAAAAATTTAGATATGAATTATAAAAAAATATATTAATACTTTGAATAAATTTGCAGGAAATTAATAATTAGATCGATCTGTGGGTTGTTAGGTAGTGTTAACCATCACCCAATATTATATTAATCATAACTATAATATAATATAATCTTATAACCATTAACTCATAATGTAAAAATTTTTATAAAAAATATTAAGGCCCGGCCCGGGTTTAACAATCTTAGGCCCGGCCATATTAAAAAAATTTTTTTTTAATGTGTTTTATATAAAATATACAATTATTTGATAATTTATTGAGTATTGTTAAACGGCTAACTAAATATTTTAACCATAAAAATATTATGCAAGCCTGAAGATCTCGTAGATAGCGTAAAGGTTTGGACATATATCCGCGAAATCTCGAGGTTTAGGTAATATTTTTCTGGCTAAAATATTGAGTTAGCCCGATTTGCATATTTTGACATCTATATTTGCTTCCAATATTTTTACAAGGTAAAATAAAAACAAAATAAACAATATTTGTACATATAGGCTAAGCAAAATGATTGGTAGGATTCTAAATCTAAATTATTTAAATATTTTTATTTGATTTTAATGCTGAATTAAATGACTCGAGTTCACAATAAAAATTAAGGGTTTTACCAAAAAAAATGGGGCTATCGCGCATTCGTTTTATCTATTCCCCCCAAAAAAACGAAAGTAATTATTTTTTAATTTAAGGTAATTTTAAACTACTCGTCCTCGTGCTGAGCAAAAAATACAAAATATTATATTAAATTGGTTTAGGGTCGATGCTCAGGTTGATACTTGTGCTCAGGTATATAGATTTGGTCGACCAGATCGACTCATTTGATTGGGTTTGGCTCATTTTTTTTGACCAAAAATCATGCTAATTCGACCCAACCAAGCAATTTAACAACACTAACTTTTCCCATATAAAATAGAATTCTAGTGAAGAATACGAATAGTAGTCTCTCTTTAAATTAATCATAATCGAGTACCTAACACCATTTAAGGTTGTACTAAAAAGTAATAATGCTACATAATCCTAACAATATTCTTCAAATAAGAAAAAAGTAATGAATTTATAATACAGATACAATTAAGTTGTATTATACATGATATTATAAATAAGCATTATATAAATTAATTTAGGTATATATGCTATATCGAATAGGTGTTTTATGGAATGTATTTAAAGAAAAATATCTAACACTTCCCAATAAAATTTAATATTTATTGTTTTTTCTTTTCTATTTATAAATTATGATAAAATTCGATGAAAACTATTTATACCTAGAATATCAATATAAAATAGAGGAATTATAGTTATTAATATTTTTAAAAAATTCTAATGAATAAGACAGTATCCGAACCTGGTACATAGATCACGTGAATAGTCCTCAAAAGTGTCGTTCCATCTTTTTTGATCGCTCTGATGGCTTCCAAATATCTTGGAATAAATAAAAGAAATAAAAAAGCATCCCAAGTAAAATGGCGAGGGTTCATTTACTTGGCCTAAATGGTACAGCTACTGATGAGCCCAGTAGTGTTGTTAAACGGCTCGTTTTGAGTCGATTTTTAAAAGCGGCTAACCCAATATTTCATCCAGAAAAATATTACGAAAGCCTGAAGATTTTGCTCATAGAAGGAACAAAGATCTAGACATATATTATTGAAATCTCGAGGCTTATGCTATATTTTTCTGGCTAAAATATTGAGTTAGCCGTTTTAAAAAAGCGGATCAAAATGAGCCGTTTAACAACACTAGAGCCAGTGCCCTTTATAACGGGAGGAAAGGGTGATGTAATAGGAGCCTTATTACCTTTAAAGGGGTATTTTGACTGAAAGTTATCCGCCATTACAATAATTCATTGGATTTCCTTTATTTTACTTTTTTTAAACTTATCTAGTTTTCTAACTCGATATCAAATTTTTGTATTAAATACTAAATTACTATTTCCTTTCAACTCAACCTCATGCCCGGTCGAAAGGTGGTATAGTAAAATTAGTTCTTCCGCATACATAACGTGTTCCAGGATTAACTAATGAAAAATTTAATAAAAATAAAGAAAACATTTATAGATGAATTTATTAATAGATTTGGACTAACATCCCCCTTTCTTATATTTATAATACATTTATAAAAAAACCGTAGCCTTGTCGGCCCAGACTTCGGTTCAATAAATGGACGATTTTAAAATCCAAGGCGTGCTTAAATTTTTTTTTAAAACTTAATACCCGGGTCGAGCCTAAGGATAAATTATAAAACGGAACTAGAGGAATTTTTATTTAATTTAATTTATTAAAGGCAAAATTGTTGATATAGATCATGTAAAACTAGGGACGAGAAAATCGTTTTTTAAAAAATTATCCTTTTTTTTATTAATCTACAAATATTTTATTGCAAATTTTTTGTTCTCACAATTATTTTATAATTTGATTCAATTTGTTAAAATGATATTTAAGCTTGCTTTTTTTTAAAATTGTTTTTTACACATTCATTCGATTGTCTCTTATTTTATCCATTAATCCCTTTAAGGACATTGACATTAATGTAACAAAAAAAATATTTTTAAAAAACCAAATTTTTATAAAAACAGATAAATTTTGGAAAGGTATAATAAAATAAGACCCGAAGGTCTCTGATATGAATTAAATTTTAATAATTTTATTTTTAAAATTATCGTGTATGTATTTATTCGATTTTTTGTTAGATTAAAAAGGGTTATTTTAGTAGCATTTATGTTGCGCATAGTAATTTCAATTCATTAAGCAATAGCGAATATATTTCTAATTAACATTTTCATAAAAAAATCATTATTTTAATTTATTTCCTTTAATATTACCACCTTACTCTTAATACACAGTTAGCGAGAATTCGCGGAGAATAAAAAAGTAGATTTTATATAATTCGCCGCGAATTCGCGCTAACTAGTTGCCTTTTATATTAACGAAATCTAGAGATTTTTAATACGAGGTTAGACCGATCAATGCAGTCGTGTCGTTTGGATGAAGGGGTAGTCTCACGAACGAAATAGTTGCTCGCGTTATTAATCTTACGTCATTGGGGGGATTTAGAAGGGAGGGCACTGGGTGAGATGGACGAAAAGTTATCCCTATTATATATCGATGAGACTAAAATTTAGAATCAAAGTGGTTTTTTTTAAACATGAATATATTAATAACTAACAAAACTAGAAAATTTATTGAACGAGAAATATTAGGATAACCCAACATTAATTCATGTAAAACTCGCAGAGTTGTTAAAGTATCTAGATATAAAAATGTGGTATCTGTATCTAGATAGATTTTTGATTAAAGTATCTGTATCTAGATATTATTTTAGAGGTATCTGTATCTGTTTTTAGATACTTTTTAAGATACATTTGGATATACTTTTATTTAACGCTTTTTTATATTATAAATAAAAATACTTGAGTGTAAAATTTATTTTATTTCATATGAGCATATAAATTAATATTAATATATATATTAAAAAATTATATATATATGTAAAATATTAAAACTTATATATAAAAAAGAATATATAAATATTAATTAAATATTATGTCCGAGTTATCAATAACAAGCAAATTCTGATATAACAATCCATCTCAAGGAATTTGCCATTTTTAATTGCAATGGAAATGGTATTTTATTTTATTCTATTATATTAATTATTGTATTAATTTTTAAGATTAATATTGATGACGAAAATGACGACATTCCATGGCCAATTTATAGACCATATTTTAAAATAATATCTTAAAATAAAGAAAACAAATCTCTGTTAGTAAAATGTTTGCCATGTCTGCCATCCCTTTATAGGCTGTGGCACGCCTATAAACACACAAATAAACAACAATATATATATATTTTAAAAAAAATGTCACGGTATATATACTTTGGAACAAACATGGACGATATATAACGGTGTTGCATGATCAACTAAATCGCTATAACAGATTTATAAAATTTTATAAAGTCCTTCGATTTTATTTGGTTAATTTAATAATATCATGATTACCTTAAATATTTCAAAAAAAATAGCTAATTTCAATGTGAATGATCATTTGTGATAGTGAATATAACTATGGTAAACACCACACTCGAAAGGGACAATAGATATTTCATCAACATTATTTTGTTTTGTCGGTGATAATAAAATCTTTGTCAAATCATCTGCTTCGTTTTCCACTTCGATCTTTCTTTGTCTGCGATATTCATTCGTAATAAAGAATGTTCATTGCCTAAATTCATCATTGGTGGCACGGTGGTATTCCTTTGTGGAGTTTTGGGATAACGAAGACGTTATTATTATAAGACGAATGTTTCAAAAAGCCTGTTTCTGGCAAGATGTAAAAAGTGGCAACGTAGAGGAATGTAGCTCCCTGAATGACGTGGCATATCGTAAAGGGATTGGATCTCTATTTATCTACACTGACGTTATACATTGTAATCGGGTGGTAGTAATTGCTCTGGAAGGTGGAATGGTGGAGTAAACGATAAGTCATGAGCATTGGTTTGATAAAAATTTTACTTAAAAATTTTAACCAAAATTTTTATGAATAAAGATCTAGTGGGTATTTGTATGAACAAAGTTATTATAATACTTTTTGAAAAAATTTATTATAATATTTTAAAAAAAAAACTTATAATATATTTTACAAAAAAAAATTATGGACTGATGTATTAATGTATACTATTTGCGGTGCATACATTATAACAAAAATAAAACATATTTCTCCCATGTGCTTCAATTTTCTCAATAATATTATCACAATATCCCTTGGTGTGATCGCCAAGTGAAACAAATAACATAACACTCTAAATCAATCACGCGCATCCCCCAAAGTTAATATAATTCATTACTACTTTTAAAATAAGTAAGGAAAAATTTTGATACCATAAAACTGGAAGAAACACATTTAAAATCACTGGCTATTTGAATATTCTTTAAAACAAAACTTTCTATTAATCTAATAAAAGATAAAAACATGTTTTCATTACATTGAAAACAAAACTTTATTTAATACCAGATGACATTTACACAATCTTTTCATTACATTAAAAAAAAAACTTGCTATTCATTTAATAACAGACAATATACAAAAAACTTTATTTAATATAAGATAACATTAACACAAATCTTCATTTAACAAAACAGACAAAGAACATTCCTTAACTAACCAAACTGAAGAAAACTTTCCATACCATTACCATGTTGCCAAATTTATTAAACCCGTCTATATTGACCTATTTTTAATATGACCAAATATATATATCCTTACCATGTTGACAAATTTATTAAACCCGTCTATATTGACCTATTTTTAATATGACCAAATATATTCAGAACCCGATTTTATTAAACTCGTCTAAATTGAACTATGATTTTAACTGAAATTGACCAACAATCCGTCTATATTGACCTATTTTTAATATGACCAAATATATATATCCTTACCATGTTGACAAATTTATTAAACCCGTCTATATTGACCTATTTTTAATATGACCAAATATATTCAGAACCCGATTTTATTAAACTCGTCTAAATTGAACTATGATTTTAACTGAAATTGACCAACAATCCGTCTATATTGACCTATTTTCAATACGACTAAATATATTCGGAAACCGAACTCATATGAACCCCAAAAAAAAAATTAAGACGCTTCTTATTTATCCCAATCTCATATGATCGGGATGCCGAATCACGGTCACCCCTGTTATTAACAAAATTTCACTTAATTTCGAACCCCGGTTCAATATGACCCGACCCTTTTCCCATTTGGTTGCCCGATTGTCAAACAATCGGGCCCAAACCTTTTGTCCCACGGCAAACCGTACTCCTAATTTTACTTCCATTGAGGTAATAGTCTTCTTCTTTGGTTTTAAGAAATCCAAAGGACCCCGTGTTCGCCTACCTAAAAATAACTCGACAGGCGTAACTCCCTCTCGATTACGAGAATTGAGGTAATATAATTGAGACATGTAAGCCTCCTCTTTATGGGCTCCAGCCTTTTTGATCCAATTTTTAACAATGGCTACCATCCTCTCAGCTTGTCCATTCGAGCTGGGATGATATGGTGGAGCTAGAATGTGTTCTGTCTGTGACTCAACACAAAACTGTTTAAAATCTTCACTGACAAAGGCGGGACCCCCGTCAGACACTATTTTGTCCGGAAAACCGAACCGAGCATATAATTCTCTTAATTTTTTCACAACAATTTTTGTGGTGTATCCATGTACTAATGCATATTCTATCCATTTAGAATATGAGTCTACCACTAAAAAATATGTCTTTTTATCAAGATCAAAGAAATCGATGTGGATACGTTCCCAAGGCTTCCTTGATTTAGGCCAAACTTGCCCTACCTCTTTACGGGGCATAGGAGCACAGGCATTACAAGGAACGCATTTTCTGGTAATCCGTTCAATATCCTT